CGGTTGTGGGACCGTGTTTCTTGCGAGTGAAGATATCGTTCACTTCTGTTAGCGGTTAGTGTAACGATGTAATAGTTCAGATAAATACCTCTGTACAAGTTGATTTCGTACTCACTGAGGGTGATCCAACTAGTAGAATTCTTCCTCTTAGATATTATACACTGTTGAAATTTTGAAGCGGAATAATAACTGTAATGAATCCAAAATTGAATGGAACTGACAGCATGAACTGTTAAGCGTATTGCAGTCAGATCCGGACTCCACTATTCAAAGTTGTTTCTGCTAAAAAGTATCCTCTAGGTGTAATTATATTGCCAGTATAACCTCTCACACATTTCTCTGCTTGAAACTGTAACCGACAAACCAGTATCTACACTAAATTCGTACAACCTATTATTTATTTCAATATTCAATTTAAATTTATTCAGATAATGTAAATCTGTTGTCATGTTGAAAATTTCATATTCTTCTAATTTTACCTCTTCCATACAATGCTGATTCCTTACTCTACATATTTTTTGCATTGCCTTTTATCCATTTAAAATGTCTGCAGTTCCAGTCGCGCAACTGAAATGGAAACACGAGAAACAGAGATATAGTCAGCGCACGAGAAGTCCCAGTCCTGCGCTATAACTTCCAAGAGCACCTTCCAGCAGAAACGATGGAACTGATAAGAATAAGAAGACGCCTGAAAAAACAGTACGAAAGGACACGTTCACCTATGGACAAAAGGTGCATGCAGAGAGCCAACAGGATACTGAAAGAAGAATTGAAAAGTATACGAGAAAGACAATGGACTACCCGTCTGGAAGAACTAAACACTGAAGACCAGTCTGCATGGAGAATGCAGAAAGTACTCAGGAACGGACCTCGACAGCCATGCCCGCCAATACACGGCGGGCAAGCAATTGTCTACAGTGACCATGAGTAGGCGGAGGCATTCGCGGACAACTTCGAAAGGCAGTGCAGAGAGAATAAGGTCTCGTTCACGGACGAGGTAGACGAAATAGAGAGACAGGTGGAAAGAACGGTATACAGTCGTTCATGAACGCGAGCTTAAGGGCCGCCGCGAACGCACCGTACTACATCCCCAATAGATTTATATACACCGACTTAGACCTGGACACGCAATATGTGGACTTGTATATGAGAGAGAACACGCAGAAAGCGTGTTCGATAGAATCAGATCGCACAACAACCCAGCGCTACGCGATCTACACGATGCGTTGAACATGGATGACCCCAGGTTCCGAGAAAGGGACAAACACCCAAGGCCGACGAAACAGAATCTACGACCCCCCTCACGACTCCGGGAAACTTATTAACCACTGAGGAACGCTCGACGCTAATAACAATAGCCACCGGTTAGATTTTGGGGGCCCCCATGCAAAAATTAAGTTAGGAATAGTCATGACATAACACTTTAACCGATCGCGAAAGAAAAGCACCTAGAGGCTGGCTTTCGACCAAAAGAGGTCGTATGTCAATCTTGCTGAAGTGCCCATCAGTAAGTTGAGGACCGCTCGGAGAGCGGGGGTGGATGGAGTGGGGTAGTAGGTTCTCTTCGCTAACTAGCTGGGGGGAAGCTTCTACTTCAGGGCACTCAACCCGAGAGGGGGCATGAGGGAGGGACATAATCTCAATCTAGACTGTTAATTCCATATAACAAAACTTTATCCATTTACGAAATTTCAGTGAGCCTTCAAGGCATGCGCAATGAAGTTTCATGACGTTTCCAAATCACATGGGCGTATCGCAGAAAAGGGGTATTTTTTAGGGATATCAAGTGAAATACTTTTTTTTCATACTCATGTTCATAGAGAAACCTTCGAAACAAAAATAAATATTTGTATTATTACAGGTACTCTGTATGACTCTTCCTGATATCTATTGTCGAGTAGTAATAATATTAATACCGAGCAAAGCTCGGTCACCCAGGTACTCATAACATAAACATAAGTATGTTGTATGATATTTAGGAGTGATTAATTTTTGGGAAAGAAAGGTTTTGGCTTTCTCTCCATCTTGATACAAAAAAAATGTGGGAATCTTCCAAAGAAAGGAAGGAAGCAATCAATTTTGAAAGAAGTAACTTATTGCATAGATGTGTAGATTATGCAAAGAAGTAACTTTCAGACACAAACTGGAAGAAAAAAACCCTCATGAAACAGCTACTTTCATGTAAACATTGAATTTCACGAAAGAAAAAAATCTTTCATAACAAATACTTCTATATGAACACTGAATTTTACAAAAAACGCTTTACTCAGTTTGTATTTCAATATAGAAGTATTTGTTTCGTGTAATCCAATGTTGAGGAAGGCTTTTTCTTCCAGTTTGTGTCTGAAAGTTACTTCTTTGCATGATCTACTACACATCTATGTATAGAGTTACTTCTTTCAAAATTGATTGCTTCCTTCCTTTTTTTTAGAAGATTCCCCTATTTTTGTATCAAGATGGAGTAGTAGAAAGCCAAAAACTTTCTTTCCCAAAAAGATATATCTTTTTTGCAAACTGAAATCTGAGGAAGTAAAAAGCATGCAATTTTTACATGTTGATATTTATTCACTGAACCAGCAAATATTGGTGTACATAATAGCAACTTACATAAATAAAATCACATTGTGATGTAACATCAGTAGAAACAATACCAAAATAATAATTGCAAACCAATGATAATGATACATCAATATAAATAGATTGGAACAATTGAATATGGATTTGATTTTGTTAAATGGAATAGAGAAGCAAGTATTCCAGACTACAATACAATATTCCAATGAGTCATATAGGCACAGTTCTTAGCAATTCAGATAGTAAATGTAACTAAATATTATTACTTATTTTTAGTGGAAAATACGCAATGCAATTTGTCAGGAAATTGCACTGTTATTCTCAATATAGTGTAAAAACAACATCATATTCCAATTTTCATTGTTCGAAACAATATTAGTTTGGAAAATTGTTTTCTGATCACAGCACCCCTTTCATCAATTTCTGTTTGTTTCTCGGAAACTTCATAAAATCCCAATTTAGTGTAAACTTGTATTATGAGCTTGATAAGAATTGATTTATGGTTTTCTGAAAAAGTGACAGAATCTTGATAGTGATCATCCAGATCTGAAAACATATCCTTTTTGAAAGGCATAAATGCCAAGTTACATTGAAGATTGAATTTCTGGAGAAATTATTTGTTATTTGGTAATTTATTACCTGTTGTTGATACAAATATTTTGATCTACAATTCTTCAAAACGTATAACTGAAACAACATCATCGGATGGTTTGATCAATCCGCCCCTATTTTTCCTACTTATCAATAACTGTGTAAAATCTATACAAACATCTTTTGTCGTATTTACAACACCTTCTACTGCTAATAAACATTTTGCACATTTAATGACAGTTTTGATATTTTTGATTACAAAACCAGCTACGTAAACCAAAACATTTTCAGTGATTATATCAAAAAAGGATGCAAATTCTTGGCCATAATCGTGATCATATATTACTTCCCCATGATTAAACCCATACTTCTTTATGGAACCCAGCTCATCAATAGATACCTCTCTCTGTTTTGGTTTAGATATACTTTGGAGTGTTGAAATTGAAGTGGTGTCTAGTCTCAAACAATTTCCAATTGTGAAATAATTGTATTGGATATTAATGTTTTTAGAATTATAACTGACTTACTTATGGAATGTAACACCTTCTGGGTGATTCAACAAAGAATTCCTACACCAAAGTACAAAACACCTAATTTTTTCACTAATAACTATCAAGCCGACGACGCCTATGAACAAAATAGTCGAAGCCTTGTGTCAACGTCAGAAATGACAGTCTTTGAGCTTTCTGCGCATTGCGCAGATACGTTTTCATAAATTCAATTTGAATGAATTTTTCGAGTATCTGGGATATGACCATTAGCAGTCTAGTTATAGGTTATGTCGGTGCGCAGAAACAGCATAAGCATTGTTGGCAATGTAAGATATCAAAATTACTTACTTTTTGCTGCCATAATTCTGACATTTTCGAGCCCTTATTTAGTATTTCTCACAAAATCCTTACATTGTTCGGGGGGGATGAATCCCCCTTGATCCCCCCTGGCTACGGCCTTGGGACTATACAAAGGTACTATAATGATTTTTCGGCTGTGCCTGAACCTTTAAAAATACCCCAGTCTCATAAGTACATATTTTTTTTATCGACATTTTTTGGGTATTTGTTACCTTTCACAATCTTTTACGTTTCGGAGGCCAAAATCTGTCTCCGTCTAAGGAAATGGACATCTGTCGAAGAAGTAAAGAAATGAGATATCAAAAAAGGAATAATTGCGAATATATTTGAATTTTATTTTTATCCATTTCTGAAGACGGAGACAGATTTTGGTCTCCGAAACGCAAAAGATTGTGGAAGGTAACAAATACCCAAAAAAGGTCGATGAAAAACTGATTTTTCCTCCACAAAAAAAAAGACTTTCGTTGAATATTTAAGAGAACGGTATGGGCCGCAGTGTGTTAATGATTTCAAGATACATATTTTTACTTCGAGGAATGACCAATGTCTGATAAATGTATCTTTAGACGATAAAAATTTAAAACCATGATAGCTGTGATAGACAGAATTTATAGCATATATTCCCCATCTGCCCACTCAATAGAAACAAAATTGTATCTTTCCTAACACCCTCACCATCGCAAAAAGTCGCTCTCAACTCTCAAACGATTTCATTGAATGATATCCATTTTCATTGTTTTTTAGTTTATACCCACAAAACCTGAATGCCATAACCTCATTCCTGTCCTGATGTGTATTAACCAAGTGCTGAGTGACTAGTGTAGTTCCAATATTTTGTGATAGTGTCCAATTCCCCAATTTGAAATTTTTATTACACACTGGATTCCTAATTTTTCGCAAATGCGAATGGACTGTGTTGTCTAGACTCACTTTACTGTGACGTCACTAGACTCCTGACCAAGCAATGAACCTTTTGGCCGGATAGCATCGGTAGCTTAGGACATTGCAAGAAGAAGAAAAATATTTGTGTTTCGTTTTTATTGGGAAGTTGTTTTCATTTTGTCTTTGAGTACCAGGAAAATTTATAACTTTTCTTTGTTATTCAAACTGTACGCTTTCTGAATTCGTTAATTGTGTATTGGATTAATTGATAAAGGATGTTCAACACTCCAATTAATCAGGTTAGTTATACGTTGGAATTATTATAACAATAGGATGTTCTCATGTTTTATATTATAAAGAAAAAAAAATGTTGGATAAATCTAAAGGTGGATCCATGCACAACTCTTTAAATCGTGAGTAACAAGTTTTAAGTCGTACGATTTGAAATTTAGTGATATTCAATTTTATGATCACACATACTTAGATAATTTTGGAATCAATTACTTTTCCCAATAAAAGAAAATGAAATGTTCCCTTTGGCATTCATTGACAAAACTGTTTTTCTCTTTTATATCAACGTAACAGCAACTACATACAACTAGATAAATAAAGGTATAAATGAAATAAACTGAATATTCATAAACTCATATTCACTGCTCAACACCTCGCCTGAATAAGAAAAAGTCCATCATTCAATAATAATAGACTTCGAAGCTCTAAAAACTTATCCTTTGTCAGTCCTTTTATCAGTATATCTGCTTCTTCCACATATCTCAGCTCTATTTCTCTGCTAATTACTTTTTCTATGATGAAGTGTTATTTGATATCAATATGTTTGGTCCTGATTGTCCTCAATTATTTGTATAGGACTAGAACAATATATTCTCGTGTCAGTTGTCAGATTTTTTTAACCAAATTCCTTCACAAGCAACAACATACCTAGGCTTCAGTAGTTGAAAGTGTTTCTTTGTTGTCCAAGAAATTAGATTTCCAAATGATTTAAATAAATAATCTGATTTTGATTTCCTATTGGTGTCATTTGCCCAATCAGAATCAGCAGAACCAATCAATACTGGGGCCTTTTCTTGTCGCCTTTGTTATTAAGCTCAGAAGCTCTTTGCAGGTATCTTAAAAAACCTTTGAGGTATTTTCAGTGTTCCTCTATTGCACAATATTGAAATCAACTTAGGTAATTTACTGCAAAACTAACTGATGACCAGCTCATTTTTCACCAAATTTGGTTGAATATAGGTACATACCCATATATAATTCTACCCTACCAAGGTTAGTCATATGAAATTCTTCTTTTAATTTCCTTTTCACTCTCTCTAATCCTTGTTGGCTATTTCCAGTAGGGAGTAAGTCACGACAAAGAGAATCAAGTATATTATTTCATCATCACTGAATTTGGTATATAAACAGTAAGTAATCACTGACAGATCTATCAAAATTGACGTCGTTCGTTAAGAGAACTGTTTTTTATATGAACACAATAGCAACTACATACAAGTAGATAAATAATAATAATAATAATGTTCATTTCAAAAACGTGTAAAAAGATAGATGAACATATAGCAAGCACAGAAATAAACATGACAAGTCACTGAAGCTTATAGAGCTTGACATTTATTGAATTACAAGTATAGCAATAAAATTCAATTTGAAAGTATATCAATAAAATTTAATTTAAAAGTATATCAATAGAATACAATTTAAATTTTTTGTGAATGATGTCATTAAGATAAAATGAAATAAAACAGTTGGAGTAGTTCCATCAGAATATAACTGCCTGAGTACTGTCAAAATCGGTTAAATAATGTCTATAAAAGTATAAATCAACTGAACTGAATAATGTTCTCATATTCATTCCTCAACAGATAGTTGAACAATTGAACTATAATCTGGAATACCTAACAAAAATATATAAATATTGATTAATTGCTAATGCTAATTAAAAGTGAATAATATCGGTGCTTTGTTGTCCAGGCCTGAATACACATGACTTCAGATATGCATTTTGAACTTTCCCAATCATACAAATAGTCCAATAAAATGAGAATTCAAATTGCAATCTCAAAGATAAGCCTGGTAAAGCAAAGGTGAAGCAAAAACCCGCCGTTGGAGACTGGTTTTGAAAATAGTAAACAGTTCTGCATTTTTGTGCGCTAATTCGTAATCAAAAGATTTTTAATAAGATCTTTATAGTCTCTTGTTATTATACAAATTCATTGAAATAGAAGAGTAGAATTCATATTAACTAATTAAGTGTCAATATAACGAAAAAGGTTTCATTATAAAGTTGCACAAGTCATACTCACAATTCCAGCATTTATACGAATCCTATAAAAACCTCTGGACGACTTTACCTTTCATATAGGATACTCCATTGGGGTAGATCTACTCACGCGATCAGAGCTTTTTGCATATAGAAAAAAGCCATCAGAATTATAGCTAGTTCCACTCGACGCACACTGTCAACCACTTTTTAGAAAATTGGAAATAATGTCTTTGCCCTGTATGTTGATTTTCTACTCACTGTTAGAAGTACATAAAAACCAAATACTACTCTCCAATCACTCAAATCAGCATAATTATGAAACTAGAACGCGGGACAACTCAGATAGCCAAGATTTAGACTTAAAATGTCATTACGAAATTCTCTGGACGTTAAATTATTTAACCAACTTCCATATAATGTGACTGAATTGAATTTTAATATGTTCAAAAGGAAAATCAAAGAGTTCCTTATACGAAATTATTTTTATTCTGTACTTGATTAGATGTAAACAACATATTCAGACTAAATAGCCTTAATTATTTACATTACTATTTATATGAATATTACTGGAGTTTCTTTCCCAACAAAAAATCGTTATTTTTAACACCTCGACACGTGTTTCGATCACCGAGTGATCATCTTCAAAAAGGAAGATTAAAACTAGAAACTAATGCGAAGCTAACCCTATTTATACTATATAGATATCCCATACAGGTAAGCCATCCAGGTATACCACCCATACATGTATACCAACCTAAATTTATTTTACAATTTTGCCTTATCTATTATTTACAATATATGTTTAACTGTTATAGCTGTATATAAAACAATTTTCAGCTATATAAAAAAAATAATTTCTCAATATTGCCTATCTAAATTTATTTTTGAAATGTGTCCTTATGTAGTAATCAGTAAACCCAACAATATTATTTTAACAAGCTATATAGTATGCTCTTTGGTGAAGGTCCGTCATCTTTATTCATAATATTATTGTGTTTACTCATTTCCACACTCTCATAGGCATCCAGTTGCCTGTTGTTAACTTGTCTAACTAATCTCAATTAACTGAAGTCTATGGAATGGTTTTGTTGCAAAATATGATGGGTGATTGCTGATTTTTCAGGTCTTCCATATTTTAAGTGTGCTACGCGTTCCTTATATCTTACTTTAATAGATCTTTTTGTCTGTCCATAATATTTTGCATCGCAGTCCTTACATTCAATTTCGTAAATTCCAGACTTTTCCGAATTCTCGACTTTGTCTTTTGGACTTCCCAAAAGGCTCTGTAGTGTATAACTTGTTTTAAAAACCACCTTCATACCTAGTTCCTTGAAAATTTTTCCAAAGTTCATCGTATATTGGTGGTATGGAACTGAGATGTATATCTTGGTTTTTGTCCTTTCTGAAAGTCGAGATTTCGTTCATTCTTGACCTAAACTTCTTCTTCCTTATTATGTTATCTACAATACCCCTCGAGAAACCGTTAGTGGCTACTATTTCCTGAATTATACATCTTTCTTTTGTGAACCTATCATGTGTTAGAGGGAAAGTCAAAAGACGATGCACTATAAAATTCAACCCAGCTCGTTTGTGCTGTCCACAGTGATGTGAACAGTCAGGAATATACCTGTACGTGCTTGTACAGGTAATGAAATTATAGTTGGATTGTAACGTATATCCTATGGCGAGCCAAAGATAATCGCTTGATTGAATGTTGTCGAGATGAGTTCTGATATAAACAACACAGTTGAATATGTATAGGTAGTGAAATAATGGTTAAAATAACCAAATCGGTAAACAGCTTCCTACATGAGTCATTATATTCTTTGAAACACATTGTTCTCACTATCTTTTTTTGAGCTATTAGTAATTCGTTAATTCTTGTAGAGTTGCCAAAGTTGATCAAACAATAACTGAGTGAAGATTGAATTTGAGCATAGTAGTAGCTCTTCAATATATTCAATGGAACAAAATTACGGAGGTTATGAATTACAAAACAATGTTTCGACAGTTTACTCAAAATATAATCAATGTGCTTGTTCCAATAGAGTTGAGCATCAACGTTCAAAACTAAAAATTTAACAGATGAAGTTTGTCATATTGACTTGCCATTTATTCTGACCAAAACACTGTGATCATTCTCATTGAGTGAAAAGACGATTGTACTCATTTTAGAGCTGTTGAGAATGAGACCATTTTGAGAACAATATTTTTGCATATTAGCAACTGCTTGATTTGCCTGACGCGACAGTCCCTAATAATCTAAGGACTTCAGAGTGAACGAAGAGTCGTCGGCAAATTGTTATTAAGTTCTAACGAATTCATGAGTATGTTACATGTAATTTCTTCAAATATCTTGGCAAATGATGATGAACTTATAGGTCTTTCGTTTTCAATCTTGGATACATCTCCTTTCTTATGAACAAGAAGTATAAATGCAACTTCCTTTTCTGGGAAAATGCCAAAGCATAAAAAGTTGTTAATAATATGTTATTAATTCCGCAATATGTTAAATGCAGTTATACTAATTGGAACGTTGTCATCACTTGTTTCTGGAACCTTTCACTACGTTCATACCTCAAATTGAAGGGGTATATTTTCAGAAGTGATCAATTTTTGGCAAATAAACAATTCAATGTTCTGGCCATCAAACACCTTACTCCACCATGCTAGTCAATCAAGAAATCTCTTTTTTTTAATATAACTTTTTCAATAGTATGCATAATATTCAGTAGGTATGTTTTAGTAGGTGACATGATGATACAACTCTTTTAATTCCACTATTTTTCAGGCCCATAAACTGCGTCATCAAGCCGAAGTTTTTCAGAAATTCAAAGAGTATGATCAAAGTATTACTTGTCACCAGAAATCGGCTGAATACTTTGCAAAGGCTCGTGATATTACCACAAATAAAGCAGCTAAGGAATCCATCACCTATCAGATGGAACATGCCCTAAAACAAATTAGGGTGATAGACATGAAGAAAAAGAAGGATGAAATAGAAAATTCCAAGAATTACAATGAAACAAAAAACAATAATGGAGATCTAGATAGTCTCAAAGATATTATATATAGGAATATCGAGGTTCATGATTCCTTAATAAGTTATCTTGGTGAGTATTCAGAATGTTTTTGCTAATACCTACTTTCTAGTATGTCATGTAAAGATCCCAGAAATGTTGAAAAAAACAGATCTCATGGTTTAAGATACACCAATAAAAAATCCGAGATTCGATAAAGAATGTAAGCCTTTACGCCCGAAAATTCTGTGCAAAACTATTTTTTGGCTTAATTGAATATGATCAGGCACCAAATTTCAATAAGCCATATTACCTAAAAAATCGATGATTTTTTGGGTGATATGAAACATGGACAACTATAAAAAATTGTTTGAAATAATAAATAACTATCTCAGATATTGAAATCTTGACTATTATGGTGAAATCCTGTTAAACCACCAATGGTTTACTTTATCTTGATATTTATTTGAAATTTTCACGTCAATTCATTCATATTTTTCAGAATATATTAGGCTTAGACTCTAGGTCTTCAGTTATACTATTTAGTTTTTCTTACACATAAATCAAGTGACGTTTTTGCTTGTTATTGCATTCTATTTTCAATACTGTTATTATTATCTAAAAGTGTAAAAAATTCATTATGTCATGCACTGTTGGAAAAGTTATCCAAACAAAATATATAAATGCCTATAACTGATGCAACAATTCCATGGAAACACCCAGAAGAGCTATGGCAGAGACTATATATAAACTCACTCAAGTATTGTCTACAACTATTGTGTCAAACAAGTTGAGGATTTTTTTAAAGAGGGATGATATGCCTCATTTCTTCATCTCCATATCATCCTTCAACAAACGGATAAGCTAAAATATTGCTATTCAAGCATCATATGACAAAATGAAAAAAAATGGGACCTATTTCTACCTCCAAAAAACCAACTTGTGAGTTATCATTGGGAAGAAGAATAAGGTCAATACATCATATGATTCACCTGAGTGGATATCCATCAAAAATAATTCAGAAGCAGATGAAACAATTGGAAAAGGTATAATAATATGAAACTTCTACTTCAAGAAGTTTGACAGATCTTGGCTAGGTAATATATAGAAATTATACAAGGAGGGAGAAGTAGTCAACAGTAGTATTAAAGAAGTTCGAGGTCCAAGGAATATAACTGTTGAAACAGAAGAAGCTGCGGTAATAAAACGACACCTGTATCAACGTTTGTTTGGAAAATTCACCTGTATCAAGTATTGAAGATGCCAACCAGTGAACTATTGAAATCATTTTCAGATCATCCAGGGAAAACTGGGTGTGAACCAATTGGTTAATTGTGTCAATCATCTAGTAAGAATCAGATACTCAAATATCTTGAAGTTTAAAAAAAAATGAAAAGAAGGTCTGGCAATTTTGTCAGATGAATTGTGAATCTTGAAATAAAAATTGATTTTGTTATAATCAGTAGCTCATATATCAAAGCTTCTACTCAGACATTACGTAACTAACATAAATAATAAATGCAGTATACTGAATAAAAATTGTAATTTCACACTTGAAAAATTATTTACTTAGATAGATTTGATTATTTTACATATGCATACTCCCACATCAAGTTGAACATAATGTCTCGTGGATAGGCGGGAGACTTTTCTAGAATCTTCATTTCTTAGAAACGCCTAATAAGATCTAGGGTCTTAAGAGAGTTATAGGCCAATTTCCATAAGCAAACACTGGTTGACTGCACCTACAGTATATATTATGAAATGTGTCGTTTTTGTATGTAGGCACCTTCAATTGCACATAACATACTTCAGTATTCACAGAGAGGATACTTGCCAGGTCACTATTCTAAGAGTTCCTTTGCATAAGAGTAATTGTGAATTATATATTCGAAATTTGTTTGGAAGTGGCAGGAAACTATCTTTCATTGTGCAAACTGAGAACAGAATTGACATATTACAAATTTCAAAACTCACTAGAAACAAATTAATATATACAAGCATGTAAATGTAGGAAGCATCTACATTTTTCCACCGCATGAAGATATCTGCATCAGTTGGTAAAAGTCGGCTTCAAACATAATAGTTCCAACACTAGTTTTATGTAACTTCCATTTGTTGATGAAGTTGTGTCTATTCAAATGGTAACTTCCCTTCTTGGAACCATCAACCACCACTAAAATGTCAGCGATTTCCATCAGAGTACATTTTTTCTGTAATTCAGATTATTTTCTCGTATTCACATCCAATGTTTTCAATACAGATCTTTCGAAGCCTATGGAATCTTTCCACTGTTATCTTGAGTAAAATTCACCATCCACATATGAAAATAAATCGCCTGAACTAAGGAGCAAAAAACTATTGGATGTGATAGATTTTAGATCACCAAGATCAAAAGCTCCCACAGAACTTGTTATAAGAGGAAGAGATGAAAAAAATCCCAAAGAATATGACATGGTTTCCATGAGGTTTGTTGCTTACTCGCATACTCCTGCGACTTAAGAAAACCCTACAAGAAAAAGTCTGACAGGGTAGTACTCGCCGTTGACAGTGATGGCCTGGCCAACTTCGTTCTCGAAGAAATAAGCCCAAAATCCACACCAAACAGTGACTTTTTGGGATGCATTCGACAATATTGTTTGTTTGCATACCCACTCATCCAGAAATGGGTGGCATCACTAAAGATGATTTTTCTAGGAAAAAAGGGTCAGTTGCCAACTGCTCCAGAGCCCATTCATCGACCACACGTCGTTGTCTTTGGTCGTTTACCTTCAGTTCTTGGGTCAGTTTAATTTTGTATGGGTACAGGCCCAAGTCACGAAGCAAAATTCGCTAAGTTGTGGTCTGAGTAAAGCAGAGTTCTTGTGAGCAACGCGTATTCTCCTGCACACTCTGGCAGACACCGGCGATTTTTTCGGCAGATCTTGCGTTTCGTCGATGTACGGGATTATGGCGACCGTTAAATGGTGGGAAGCCCGCGGTATGTTGCCCCAACAGAACACCCATTTTGATAAAACAATTTTATTATTTGCACGTGATGTTGAATGCTATATCCGTCCATGGTAAATAAGTGACAAATAATTTAATAGGTGTAGCTTTAACAAGATGGCCGATATCGATTGTCAAAGTTTGGAAGTACCTGTTGGGGACTGCCTTTTCACACGTTAAACTTGTTTATATTTTTCTTATAAGAATATTATTGCAGGAAATAAAGAGAACAGCAACGGGAGCCTTAAATCCTACCCTGTAAGTCACGCTGAAAAAAGTGGATCCAGTTCAACTCAAATTATCTGCAACGTACATCCCAAAAGTGATACCCAAATAATTGAGGAGTTGACTGTTCTCAGTGGACATTACAGAGATGCAGTACTGAATCTGGTGGTACAGTTAGAAGATCGTAATAAGGAAATTGTTAAATTGAAAGATATCATAAAAACACTTGAGAAAGAAAAACAGAAAGGTACTGAAAATCAAAATTGAGTTTTTCAATTTTGTAATTATATGAATCATCATTCATTTTCATGTTTCATTACTGTTAGGTCAAATGAAAATTAAGTCCTTATTCTCTAAGGATGACTTACAATTTTACAGCAGCTTTGAATAAAGTTAAGATAAGATGATGAAGTAATATGTGTGATTTCATTTACCTCTTAAATTACGTGAATTGAATAATACATACACAATGACATTATTTCCATTTTGGCCACGATTACTTCTACTCATTTTTTTTAAGTATTTCTGATAAATATCGAATATTGAACGAAAGTAATTTTTTGTGTAGTTGCAAGTTCTTGTTCCTTATATATTATACTGACAATAGTCACTGTCTAATGCTTTTCAGCATGTTGGAAATTTTCTCTCTTGAGGTAATTCCCAGAAATTTACCCAGGTATATGACAATATTTTCATTATACTACAATCCTTTTATGACATAAACATTTTATGATACAAACCTTTTATGACATAACTTTTTTTTAGGAATTAGAAATATAGTTACAAAATAAATTAAGGACACAGTAAAAAGAAAATACCATTGTCATTTATCAATTATTTCAACCTTTCTATCAGGTAAACTAACATAATTGTTTAGTGAAAAAGGTAACAATACAAAAAAAAAGAAAATATTCAAGTTAAGTGTACATGTACTTGGGTAATAAAAAAAAATTATTTCATTGAATATTTTAATAATTATCAGAAGTTTCGTGCATCAGCTGAACCAAGTGAAGAAGTACTTTTAAATGGAGGTATTAATTGTAGTTTTAAAGATGTATAGATGTGTAGTTTAACATAAACATTGAATTATACGAAAGAAAAATAACTTTCCAAACCCCTACTTTTATATAAACCACGAATCATACGATAATCACTGTCTCCTATTCAGTTTGTACTTCAACATATTTGTTATGGAATTGAAACAGATATCATTCGTAGGAACACCATGCAATATAATATATGAAAGAGTAACCACATAAAATTTTACATAAATGGAACACTATCATCCTCAATAGTGTACTTCCCAAAAATTAATATTTCCTGAGAAATTGCCCCATTTCAATTCAGAAAAATAATGCTCCAATACCTCCAGAAGAATGGGGTTTGTTAAAATATAACTACTTAACATGAATAACAAGGATGCAACCTGCACCCTTTTTCCAAAATTTTCCGTTAGAAACATATATACTTCTAATGAGTTCCATTATTACATCCATCAAAAATAACTTTGAAGTTAGCGCAATTGTTATGTAAGTATCTGATGTACTGTTACACTAATTAAAATACAAAAAAATACTTCTGAAGATGCAACACAAAATTGAGTTTTTTATATAAATACATCTCAATTGAAAAGGGTATATTTTTAGTAGATATTAATTTTTCGGGAAGAGGTTTGGCTTCCTACTTCTCCATCTTTATACAAAAAAATGTGGAAATCTTCCAAAGGAAGAGAGAGAGAGAGAGCAATTAATTTCAAAATGAACTCTTTACAAAAATGTGTAGATCATGCTAAGAAGTTACTTTCAGACACAAACTGGGGAAAAAAAGCCCTCTCTAAGCAACTACTTCCATATAAACATTGAAGTACTTCTGAAACAAGTACTTTTAAATGAACATGGAACTATACAAATAACCCTTTCTCCTATTTAGTTTGTACTCCAAACATCCGTTATGGAATTTAATCAGATATCATTCACAATAAAGAAAGAGGTGAAATTTTACTTACATGAAACGCTGTCATCCTCAATGGAGAAGTAGAAAATCAAAACCTCTCCCAAAAAATATAAATACATATTGGTTGAGGAATATAAATAATCATGTCCTCGCTTCATAATGCTCCTAATTTCAAATAGAATATTAAAAAGGAACATTTTTTAAAAACCTATAAAAACCAATCTGTTTCTGAGGGCTTCCGAAGATTTATTGTAAATGCCATCAAATCAATGGTATTAGATCGGAACCTACTCAAATTAGGACAGGCACACTGAAAGGATCATGTCTACCATCAACCTTATTCAATATTGAACAAAGCCAATTAATCTTTCGAAAACATAACTCAATGTGTAGAAATAATAATTTTTCTTCAAATGTAGACTATGTAGACAATAGACGTTCAGTTTAACACAAAAATTGCAAATATGAACAAAAGTATGATACTAAAAGCAGAATAAAAATCATTAGAGAACTCAACTTGTACAAATAACTGACTTTTCAGAGGTCCAATTGGACTAAACACTAACATGGAATGATTAAATATATCAAAAATTCTCACGATTAAGGTCATATTGCTCTTCATTATTAAAAACTTTCATAGCACAGTGTCATTTCAAATACTGAAAGCACTATCTTTTGGCCTCATTCAGTCATGCCTTTCATATGATCCGAAGAAAGGAAAAGGCCCGTAAGATGAATTTATCTAGCAAAGCATCAAGTTAATCTACTTCATTAAGTTGATAATTGTATATATTTTAAATGACTATCAAAACAAGGCAATCTGCATAAACTTATTGTGAGACTGAAAGACAAACCTGATTTTTGTTTTTTCACTTCATTAATCAGGCGATAAAACCATAATCATATGTTAACCAAATACTACAGTGAGAAATGTGAAATAAAGAAATTTACAGAATGCAGCACAAAATTATTCGATAAATATCCAAAGAAATCTAGGGTACAGACCTGGTTCATATTGATAAAACCAGTAGTCTTTGTCAATTTGTATGTGTATTGTTATTATTATAATTTTATACTATTTAATTTTATTTACAAGAAAAAACTAAATAGTGAGAACTAATGAAAATTGAAGTTTAAAAACCTCAAATGTGGGGTTCCACGGGGGTAGGTTCTGGGTCCAGTTCTTTTTTTATCTATGTGAATGATCTAATATATGGTAGTTAGGTAGTTTTATATTATACGCTAATGACACAACTATCGTCAGGAACACTCCCAACATTGAAGACCTAAAAAAGTGTGTTGAGGAAAATATTAACTGGTGTGAATCGAATCATCTTTCGTTCAATAATAAAAAACAATTTACTGACATTCAAGTGCTCTTTACAACATTTGACAATTGATTTGGAAATAATAGAAAATAAAACCTGTGCAAAATTTCTAGGAATTCATATTGATAATGAACTCAAATCCGATGAACATTTAACAAAATCTTAAAAGATTTTATCTTTGGTTGCTATGCAATTAATATGATATTAATAGAATTAGTATATTCTACAGCTGAAATGGTGTATCACTCTGTATTCGAAACTTGCTTGAGTTATGGGATTTAATTTGTGGGGTAGTTGCAGCAACTATTTATTGATTAACATATTCAAATTGCAAAAATGAGCTTGAAGATATATGTGTCAAGTTAAATATAATGAGCCATGTTAGCCGCTATTTGAAATGCATAAAGTGCAGGGTGTTAATTAAGTATGTACCATAAATTTAACAGACGATTCTTTAGGTAATTTTAAGACGAATTGTTCATATAAACATGGGTCCGCAAATCCTTCGTTCTCAAGATACAGGGTGTTGAGATAAAAATAAACAAAAACTTATTTGTGAATATTTCAAATATCCTTTACGTAATTTTGTTGTAAATTGGCAATGGTATTTATAACATTAAGATGCTAATTTAGCCCGAACGTGATTCAATTTATTAAGACCAGTGGCGTCTCGAGCGGGATTTGAACGAATATTTTTGACTTAAAAATGTATGCCACTGACTTTTGTGAAATTTTTATTATTCCTTTGGCTTAAGCAATTAGAAATACAAATTTTTTGTCTCTTGAATTTTTTTCATATCTTGCTTAGTTTTTAAGAAAAAAAAGTCGACCTAATTGCATATCCCTGGATGAGGTGGGGAATTGAATGTTTCTTTTGGAAATTATCATTTTTATAATTTTTCATTACTAATTATGTTACAATAACAACAAATATTAAATAACATTAACATCTTGACTAATGAATTTCACTAAAGTAAATGTTGTAAATGGCCTCCTTCGGACTCAATACAACCGTCTAGCAGCCGCATAATTGAATTTTGCACTCTTCTGGAAATACCTGGCGTATTTTTTATTATGTCACATGAGTTAATGATTTTATTCTGTAAATTCTCTTCACTTTGAATAGCAGTTTTGTATACCAACGCTTAAAGGTGTCCCCAGAGAAAATAATCTAAGGGATTCATTTCGGGCGAGCGAGGTGGCAATGGGTGTGAGTCTGCTCTCCCAATCCAGCGATTTTATTCCGTGAGTTATCTTCACTTTGAATAGCAGTTTTGTATACCAACGCTTTAAGGTGTCCCCAGAGAAAATAATCTAAGGGATTCATTTCGGGCGAGCGAGGTGGCAATGGGTGTGAGTCTGCTCTCCCAATCCAGCGATTATGGTAATTTTCATCCAAAAATTGCCGTGCCACAACACTAAAGTGTGGTGGAGCACCACATACGGAATCTTTGCATGACTGGAATTTCTTCTAAAAGTCCAGGTAAAACAAATTCTAAAAACCTTCGGTATTCCTCTCCATTGAGTCTAGGTGGAAGGAAGTGAAGCCCAATGAGATGGTCACCGACAATTCCAACCCCCATATTAAAAGAAAACTGTTCTTGAAAATTATTTTCTATCAAGGCGTGTGGATTGTTTTCGGCCCAAATGTGATTGTTGTGAAAGTTGATAATTGAATTGCGAGAAAAACAAGCTTTATCTGTGAACAATATTCGACTTAGGAAACCTGGATTTCTTATTATTTTACCGCGTAACCAACCAGAAAAAGTCTCTGGGCAATAGAGCTTGCACACATTGCATGTGATAGGGATGTAGCTGCTGGGCTCTTAAAATCTGCCACACTGTGACATGGGTAACATTCAGTTCTTCAGCTGTTTTCCGATTACTGTTATTAGGATTTACTTCAATCTCATTTAAAACAGCTTCTTCAATTTAAACTGTTCGTACCGTTGCAGGCCTTCTAATGACAACCGTTGATCTTTTACAGCTGCCTGTTTTAGAAAGTCGTGCATGGAGACATACAAAAGTTTCTCTATTAGGCACTACACGCTAAGGAAATCTTTTATGGTAAATGCGTCTTGCAGCATTCGAGTTTCCTTGAGTCATTCCATAACAGAAATGCATATCTGCCATT